ACCTTTTCAACTGTCAGAGGAAACAACAATAAAAAAATAATTTATGCAAATGTATACCGGGACACAATTAACGACGGCAATTCAAATTGCTTTCTGGTTTTGCTGGTAAACTCCATTGTTTATCTTCCGTTGTAAAATGACAATAGTTTACAAAGATTTCACACATTGCTTGTTCCAGTTCATTTATTTTTTTAAGGGTTCAGAGTTTTTTAAAAAAAGGAAAATGAAGTTGGGAACACTTTTATCGCGAAATTTAATGCTCTTTTTTATGTTTACTTGTTTAAAATTGCGAAAATAAGACCACGCGACATACGCGGAAATTTAGTACTAATAATTAAGGTATTACGTAAACATGACAATTCATGCATTTACTTCCTTTTCTATTGCGCATAAAGTGACAAAAATTTATTGATAAGTTTATTGGTACTGAAACGTGTCCGTAATTGTAGATGACAAAACGACAATAGAGCACATGATTATTAACACCTTCTTCTACAAAAACATGCAACTACGTCCTTTTTCATTTTTCAATAAATGACTAAAATTGCGGATAAAAAAATTGATGTTTGTTGTTATTGAAACGTGCCCGTACGTGACAAACGACAAAATAATATAACACCGACCGCTGTTGTGACATGACAATTCATTCAACTACGTCTTTTTCGATTTTAGATGTATTAATAACGGTAAGTTCTGATAAATAAAATGACACTGACAGTTAAGGAAGTTTAAGTTGAATCAGCTCCAAGGCAAAGTTTTGAATGGAACTGCCACTAATGAATTAGGGGAGGGCGAAGTAGTGAGATTTTGTTGATGGCTTGCAACTCGAAAAAAAATTTAAGAAAAAGAGAACGATTGAAAAAGATGAAGAAGTATTCAAAATATATTAAATATTAAAATAAAAAAATTTAACCATTATTTAAAGGGGCTGTGTCACGTCTGGCTTGTTGATTTTGTTTGTACTGCTAATAAGACGTCCTCAGTCGCAATGGAACTTAAAGTTATCGAAGAAATTATTTGCATATTATGACACATGCGTACAATAGCTAATTCTCATTTTTATTGACTAAACTCGTAGATGAACTTAACATTTAATACATGAAGCTGTCTATGCGGAGTGCAAAGAAAGAATTTTTATTTTCAGTATAAAAAAATGTTTTCACGACTTTTTCCCTATTTTGAAAAAATGCTTGATGGTAAAGCGACGAAAACTTAAACACACTCACTAATCTATCAGTAATAACGACTATTATAAGTGTTAGCTTTTGGCGAGGGGTTGCCAGCCGAAGCGAGGATTAGAAACGAAACTGACGCATGAAGGTAGTTTACATGCATCAATTAAAGCCAAAGAAGTGATTGGTGATTTTACGCCATAGACCATCAGACATGTAGTACATGTCTCAGTATCCAGTTGGCTCACCTGACGCAGGGGCTAAATTTTCCTGTTTCACTTTTCACGATTGAAACTTTAACCGACAATGGAAGAAACATAAACCATGAGGAAACAAAGAAATTGCTAACAGTTCAAGGTTAAATTGATGTAGAAAAAGCCCGGGTAAAAAAGTGACAAGACAAGCGCTAAAAGAATGCCCTTTCAGCCTTTACATTTCAACAAGACAATGTCAAACAACACAGACTCCGATCGTGACCCACCAAGTACAGACGAGAGAAATGTTAAACTTGGCTTTTACATTGCTTCTCTTATCTTAGGTTTTGGAGGTAACAGTTTGGTAATAACAGTGATGTCAAGGAAGAAACAGAAACGTTCGATTCCCAGACTTTTTATTCTGAATCTTGCTATTTCCGATTTAAGCTTCATCATGATAGCTACATCAGTAACCATCTACACTTACATCGGTAAAATTTACCAAAACTCGTACTATTGTCGACTCTTAACACCTCTGCTGACAACCTTCTATTTCGTTAGTATCTTTACCATCTTTTCCATGGCGGTGCATCGCTGTAGGTTGATTACTAACCCCTATAGACCTAAGATGAGGGTGCGAAATGCATACATTTGGATCGCTGCCATTTGGTTTTCTTCCTTGATAATAGTCCTTCCCTTATCAGTCGTCTCTGAAGCTAACAACGGGATCTGCTACGAGAACTGGCCGTCCATAAATCACCGAAAAGCGTACACCATTGCTCTCTGCATTCTACAATTTGTGATGCCTTTGTTAATCATTGGTGTTGCGTACGCTAGGATTGGTATCTATCTCAGGCGATCAGCCAATCCTCAAAGCTCTTTACCTGCACTTAAGAGAAGAAAAGAAAACATCCAAGTTATCAAAACACTAGCCATGATTGTGATCCTGTTCGTGATTTGTTTGCTGCCTGGACAAATCGCCTGGCTTTTGCTTGATTTTGGAGGTCAAAAGGAATCAGAGATCACACAAGCGGTCTTTAAATTTGCAGATATCCTTGACATTCTGCATGCATGCGTAAATCCCATTGTTTACGGACTATCAAATAAACGTTTCCGAAGAGAGTGCATACAACACTTTTTTGACTGCTTTACATGTGGCTCGAAGTAGCTAAGCCCGAAACGTTGTAAGGGACGCCTCAATTCATTTATGACAGTGTGAAATGTGCGCTTTTTTGTTTAATACCTCAATTGGAAGGTGTAGCCCACAACTTTACCGTAGGTGTTCATTAATTTGCCCTTCAATAGAAAAAAATTCCCGGCCTCTAGTAAATTTTTTAAAGACCGCTAAGAGAGCAAAATCTCTACTGAGTAACTTGTGTACTTCTTAACAAGAAAAAAATGAGGCTATGTTCATTTCTTGATGAAATAGAGACACAAACCAAGTTATAGAACAAGGAACACGTCTACAGAGCAAACGGCGGTACAAGACCATCTAAAGATTAGCTAGAATGAGTTGTAGAATTGTAGAATTGAACTTTATACTGTACAAAATAAAACGCATACGGACAAGCTTGAAGTTTCCTCTTTCTCAATGTAGGATAAAATAAGACTTGTAAGAAACATTTTTTAAAAATATGATAGCCATACTGTACATTCAGGATGATACAACCTACCAAGACTATGTATTAATGCATTATTACTGTATTATTGTATTGTGACTTGAAAATTGACGGCTTCATGATTTCTTCCAATTTTGCGGTGCATGAAAGCGAGGCTAGTCATCAGGTCTCAAGAGTTTTGTTTCGATTCCGCGTCTTAGCGATTAACTCAATCGATACGGTTTGCTTCCAGTTGTTGTGTGCTTGAGAGCCATTAAAAGGGAGATTTTGCACCAGCATTTTCAGTAATTTTTAGCGAGTTATTATCACTCCAAAAATGGAGTAAAAATTTTAGGTGCAGGATAACTCCTTTTTTGGGGTTATGTCGCGTACATGTGCCAAGTCTTACGCTCCTGTTGTAAATTGAAGATCAATCAGTCATGGCATGCGCGTGTGTCATAGAATGCGTCATTCTTGGATACTTCCTATTAAAATGAACACTCAATACTTAGGTCAGGTTCAGCTATCAAAACCATAAACTCAAAAGGCATGTAGGTTTCAAAAATTTAGACTTGGCCTAACAATACGCTATTTGATGCTCAAACGCTTCAGACAGGTTGGATTAATGCTGTTCAATGTTAGCCAGCATAGTTGATTGCGATTGCATTGGTATATAATATCTAAAGCTAGTCACCCAAAAAATCACGGAAACTCCACAGCGATAATTCTGAACGCAGCTTTATTACTGAAGTTTCAAATGACCACCATCAGCTCAGTTTATTATGATGATCTAATGAAAAACATAAACCCGTGTGTAACTGACAGCAGTTACGATGAAAAGCAAATGAAGAATGCTCCTGAATATTGTTAGTTCGCTTCACGGTATAAAAAAATTCCACTAATCACTTATTGATGACTGAAACCGCATTTAAAGGAAAAAAAACCTACGGACAATGAAAAAAAAAAGCACTTAACAGTATAGTTAGGAGTATAAAGTAAATTATTCATGTTTTTTAACCGAGAAAAAATGGAAACCGCCTGTCATTTACTGTCCAACAACAAAACAATAATCAACTGAGGGATTCGGTCATCATCATAAACAACAACGAATTTCTCTCCAACGTTAGAGATCATGATGTAACGATCGCTTTGATTTGTAAGGACTCATTTAGAACCACAAGTTGGGAGGAAATGGAGCTGGAGGAACTCGTGTTTAATTTTGACAGCACTGCGAAAATGGACGCAAGTGACGAAGAGATTGTAAAGGTGGCACTAAAGCAAGTTGAAAGAACTATGAAAGATCTCAGTGAAAGATCATCACAAGGATACGCGATTGGATATGAACTAGGATACATAAAGGGTGTACTGGAACATGTGCTTAAAACGATACCAGACTCACAGAACAAGGAGGCTTATATGAAAGGATATGTGAATGGTTATATCAAAGGAATGCTGTACTCATTCAAACAAGGGGACTTAGAGAGAGAAAAATTCAACTTTCATTAACCTCAGCACTCAGACGATTCCTTACGTCGTGACTGTTATGTTGGTACGCTTATAATCCTGGCCCCGGTTGTTCAAACGTTGGATAGCGCTATCCACCGGATAAATCACTATCCAGCGGATAGCGTAATTGATTTGCGTAATACTTATCCGCTGGATAGTGATTTATCCGGTGGATAGCGCTATCCAACGTTTCAACAACCGGGGCCTGGAAGTTAACAAAAAAACTTCGGAAAAAATATGAAAGAGAATATGAAACGGTCAGGGTATTTTTAAGAAGTACCAATGGATAAATTTATCTTCGGATGTTCGGTTGTAAACCTCGTTTGTAGAAATAGTTTGGTCACAAAAGAAAAAAGGACGAAATTCCGACTGAATTTGATGGATAGTCCAGTTATATCTTGTACCCAACAGAATACAAGGACGATCATTATGAACAAAAGTATTTTGATTGTCATCAAACTTTTGAAATTTTTTTTGATTCAAATACAGAGTAAAGAAGAATGGAATATGCGTGAGAAACAGAAAAATATAATCTGTGGTTTGAGATCCACACAGCAGGTTATGAGATGATTGGCTATTATTATTGGCATAAACAAGAAAAGTGGTGGATATTAGCAAATAAATTACATTCACATTGTGACGATCACATTCATTTCAAAATACTATTTTATTTACTCGGATGGTTAAACCTAGTTTAAACAAAAACGTTTGGCTATTTAAGGCGGTTAAGTTTAATTGTTTCTAATTTGTACTGTGTCACATAGAGCGATTTTCGTATGACCTTGAAAAATTGTTTTGGGAAGTGTTCGTTATTTGTTTTATCAGCCAATTGATGAAAAGATCAAGGAATGAACTCTTCGTTTTCCCGCCAAAGAAAACCCTAATATGTCAAAGCCAAGTATCGATTGATTTCTAGAAGGTTCTGGGGCATGAAGTTTTTTCGCTTAACCAACTAAAAGCCGTTTGCATTTGTACCCATTCGATATTTCCGTTCTTTTGTTGTTTCTGTTTGTTCGCACGTTTTCATTTCAAGGTCATACGAAAGTCGCTCTATCAGTGTCCCTTTTCTTCGTTCCCGGTCTCGCGACTATTTGAGGTGGCACGAGAAGTGATAATTTATGGATTTTCTGCATCGAACTTCTTTTCGAGTAGATAAACGTACACGGCATGCACTTTTCGGCTACTGCTAACTGAAAGGAATCAAACTATCTGTATTCAAACAGCTTCCCCGACAGATCACCTTCGCAATATCGCGTACTTTATCGATGCTTAATAATTTACAGATGCTCATCAGACATCATGCGGAAAAAAGTTATGTTCGTTTTGCAAGTGCAAGTGGCGTAACAAAGACCCTGCAAAAATGCATGTTTCCTTTGTGGCAAGAAAGTCATGCATTATACGTAGCTCATTGCTAGAGTACGGTTCGCTTCATTTTTGTTCGCTTTAAAATCCCGATAGAAGAGTTTGACTCTTACACAAGGTCCCAGAAGTTAGACTTCATGCTTCCTGCAACCATTCATACAGATTTTTGCCTCTCCCGCTTAAGGTTACCATGGTTACCGTAGGATGACCTTGGCAGGCTTGCCTTGCATGATGGGAGGGTATATTCCATGATAAAGATCATACTCACGGCGAAGAAACGCGAATAAAACATCAGACGTCAGAAGGATCTGAAAAACAAATCAAAGCAAAAAAAATCAAAATAAATGTCTGCAGGACATTTCTAACAATTTTGCAAGGGGATTTGGCCAGAAGATGGAGGCCCGGGCCCCTAAAGCCCTTTTCCTAGATCCAAACTCGTTCCCAGCAATTCCCTTAGGAAATGGGTGGGGCCATTTTCTAAAGGAAGAGCCCTGGAGACGGGGGGTGCTTACTATTTACACATACCACCTGGGTGAAAATAATAAAACATAATACAGATAAATCTATAAAATTTGCCGTGGTGGGAGTGCGAATCACTACAGAGTATATCCACATTTGCTGCACAGAATGAAAACACTAAAATTGCGTCGCGTCAAATCGGAGTCCGTATTTTTCTGAACCTTCCCGGACGGAATGGAGCGAGCTATTTGACTTTTCCAGCCGGAAATTCCGGTTTTCCCACTTTTGAAAGGGTGAATACCCGAGGTTACCCTAGATCCGCCTCTTCCCTGTAGGCGATTAAATTTGCCTGCCTTTTGTTGTTCCCCTTCTCATTATTGAACGAGATTTACAATTGCCCAACTTAAAACAACCATCTGGTTATAAATCCAAAATCTTACGTGGAGAAAATTGTCTAAAAATTTGGTAGTAAAAGTACAAACGCAAATTGACAATTCGGATGGTATTAGTATTACGAGAAAACAATTTGGCTTTAAAAACAGTCCCTTATGAAAATTTAAGCCTTTGATAACAAGACGATTGCGACTCCTTGTTCAAAGATTTGGACCTGGTAATATCGGATTTTCATACGGCAAGCGTTCACCAATTAAATTTTTTAACAGGAGTAAAATATCTGACCATAAGAACCGATATTACCTGGGCAGTAGAGTATGCTAATGTGATTGCAAAGAAGAAGTTAGCGTTCGCACTTCCCGCATAAATCCACAGCTGCCAGAAGACTGGGGCCAAGAATGAGCTACAGAGCAGCATACAAGTGATCAGAAGAGTGTTTCTGAGATCTGAAAAACGAAAAAAGGGAACTCTCGCATTGAAGATTGTTACACATAGAGTACAAAAAATCCTACAAAATTCCCATGTAATGAATGACCTTTCCATTGCGTTCTTTATGGAGTTTTTATTGAAGCGGTGTATAACTCTTAATACGCCGAAGTAAAGCTATTTATGCATGAACTGTAAATCGTTTGAAAATTATGTGCAGAGATAGCGGCATGGTGAACGACGAGACATTTGATCATTGCTCCGAGATATCCGTGCTTCCTCGTGCGCGCGGTTTTCATGTTTCACGTGCTTAGCACGTGTTGTTCCGAGTGAGTTATAATCTGTGCTTTGTTGAACTCTTTTCCTTCTAATAATGGCCAAAAACGTAACGCAATAAAAAGTAATGTGCAAACGTTCCGTTTAAAAGCTTTTATTTGAATGGTAACATCAGATTACTTCGTTCAAACCTTTGATTGGCCTTGGATTTTAAGAATAAAAAGCTGCCGGTAACTATGTCAACAAATAGCTGCATGATAGAAAATGTACCACTTACAAGGAAAGATGTGCATCCAAAGTGCAAGAAGAGCTAACGGAACAGCGGCGTCACCCAGACAAGGATACGACTTCATGATAGCCATCACTGAACATAGCATACACGCAAGAAATGTTGGGTTATCCCTGGAAATAACAACAAAAAAAGATTTAGTAATAAAAAAAAGCCCTAAAACATTACATAGTCTAAGAAAGCATACAAATAAGAAATGAAATAAATGTAAATGCAGTTTCTTTACTCATGAAACACTTACTTAAGAGCTCTCTTAATAACTCTTTTCACATCTGTTTGTTCGTTCCAAAGGCAAGGAAACCGGAATATCCGATGAAAACGTTTCGGGTAAGAGAGAGAAGCAACAATAAACTCGACCGCGTCTATTTTCACTGAGTGTTGTAACGAAACTTTATGCGCACCAAAAGTTTTAACCCAGCACTGATGAAAAAACACAAAAGCCAAGAAAAGCCATCGCTCCATGCGAAACATCTGGTACATGAGCATGTAAAATTCGTTCCTCAAAAGTCTCGTTTGTTTTCGGTCTCCGAAAGCTGTTTTATGCTTATATAACGCATTTGGTGCAGAGAACGACAGTTTTGTTGGTTTTGCAAGCAGAGCAATAAAGGATCTTGTTAGGGAGCTACAATATGGCTTTCAGGGGCCCGTTCCTCGCAAGTCGGGGTAATTCCCAGGCCTGGAAAGCTGTTTTGTTTACAAAGACCAAGGTTCAATAATGGTTTCAATATATTTGCAATTAAAATTATAAACCAGTCGGTTAAAAACGGGTAAATGGACTGATTTGTTAGCCAGCTTTTCCGTTAGACTTTGATTTCGGGCTTCGGACACAAAAGGAATAGGCTTCAGGCCCGAAAAGTGAAGAGTGACTTTCTAGAAACGAGTCCCAGTACGCACGATCAACAGCTATTACATAACCATACTCACTGTATGTTCCACTATTAAATGAATTTACTTTTTATGTCGTACCTTAATTTGATGGTCAGCGGAATGCAGTAGAAGAAAGCATTCAATTGAAAAACCCAAAGAAAAAAATTCCTAAAATGTTCAAACATCTCGGTGAAGAAATACCAGAAGAGACCCATGTTAGGCGTCAGATCAGAGACCTGTAAACTGGGGAATAAACAACAAAGAATAGTCAGATTAAACTTATTATAAAGTACAGCAATTACGTACCTATTGTTTGTACACACGAAATACTAACCGCTATAACTTGCCTTACGCTTCTTAGCTTACAATTCTTGGGGACACAATTTTGAGCGATTTCTTTGAACAAAGGCCTGGTTTTAACGTCGCATTGCGCATGTGTCGCATCTGTTTCACGTGTCGCTGAATTTGGGTAATTCGTCGATAGAACCAATTTGTCGCAAAACTAAAACCTTCAAGCTGAAAAACCACTAGTCGGAGCTTGAAGCGAATTGTGATTATATGAACCCTGCGCCACTAGTCTACTGGTTCCATCGACGGGTGATCCAAATTCAGCTTAACTTTTCCGTTCCAGCAATCCCATACTTTAATGGATCTTTGCTTTTTATAAGAAATTTGAACTTTTGTCGTCAACCTTGACTTTGCTCAAAGCCAAGAATGAATGGGTTAAAAAGCTTTAGAAGTATTCACGTACTTTATCAATTGACCAGCAAACTGCAATGCTCTGCGCGTTATCTTAAAAAAGCTTTGAATAATCTCTCCATTTGAATCGGAGAACCCAAAGCCCAAACGCAGTGCCAGGATGGTTGCTAAAAAACCCAAGTCATTTTAAAAGAAATGAATGTTGATAGAACCTTACATTAATCCATGTGTAGCTGAAAGAAAATCCCAGGACTGAAACACTTGGTAGGACATTCCAAGCAAAAGAACTATCCACGTGACAAATGAAGCAATAACTTTACTAACAAACACAAGTGACTTCTTGTTGGATTCGGCATCAATTGACCGAACCTAAAATGCAGAAGAATAATTATACTTATAAGCTATTGTTCAAACTAACATAGAGGACTGAAAAACTGTCGTTCTTATAAGGATTAGACAGCAAAGCCATATTTTTTAAGGGTCGTTAATCAATTATAAATGGTAGGAAATATTTCCGCACGTTTTATTGTTAGACGACATAACGTGACCACAAGCAGACCCAAAGAGTATCAGCGTTTTTGAACTCAGTTCGCCATTTTAGCCCCGGGGGGGGGGGCTCCCATATGAAAGGGGCGGGGATAGTCGTCGGAAATTTTGAATTAAACCCCAAAAGGAGACCGATCTGGGCGTGGCCAAACCTTTTTTTGGACCACTAAAAGAGACTATTTTAAACTTTGATTACATGAATGGAGTAAATAAAAAAAAAAATTGAAAATATATATAAACAAGATTTTTACGGCTACATATAATGGCGTTTTGCCCAGAACACCCTAAGTGCGACCAAAATCTGAAATTTACACCCCTGATTAAGCGAGATGACGAGCATCCCCACCCCCTTCACAAGGGAGTACCCCCGGTCATTTTAGAACTAACAAAAAGGGAGCTGGAGCGTCCGCATTTGTTTCTGGGATGGTTAACGAGAGAAGCATTAGTCAATTATTGGCAAATTTTGCAAAACTCAAATAGGCTCAGTTTTGTTCTCATTTCTTATGGCGAATGGGTTTTTAAGGGCAACTTTTAGATAAAAGGAAAATCTCGTTCCCAGGGACCCGAGAGTTACCCTTGTCAAGAGAAGCTGGGAACGAGATTGGTTTTTGGAATGTGGTTGTCATAAGTCAGACCAACCTCGGAGTCCCAGGGGAAGAAAGTCGGGTTGGCACAAATGGTGTCACGAAAGCTCTGCCCGTGCATGAAAACTTTTGTGGCGCCGTTTCTGCCGAGCCAACTGTTCTACCCTGGGCCTCCGAGGATGCTGTTAAACCAAAAATTTCTTTTCCACCAACAACATAAGTTTTGACTATTTTCTTCTTAACACAGTTTCGAACTACATGTAGTAAATGATAGTTTTTATTTCTCATGAAAATGCATTTACCTTGATCAGTATAAGGATAACAGGTGGCAGTAAAGTTATAGGATACAAAGAATGATAAGCACCAAAGGCAACTCCAAGAGTGCTGACAAGAATATTCCCTACAATGCAAAACAATCATATACAATTTAAATTTTACGGTTGATAACCTGTGGCTGCAATCCATCTTCTACAGTTGTATTTGATCAATGCTTTTAAGCATCTATAAATTATGTACTGTGTAACCTACAAGGAACAGCTCAAAGCCTTTGTATTTGTAGAGGTGCTTCTTCTGTTAAGATTTGTTATTTCTATAAAGTTCTGTATCCTAACGAAAATGAGAAATGTTCATAATAGAGGTGTCTTGGTTGTAGAAGTGTCTGTGAGGAGAGGTTTGATTGTAATACTGACACATCGACTCTGATTACTTTTGACACAAAAAGTTTATTAAAACAGCATGAGCAACAATAACAACAACAAAAGAAACAATGCAAACAGAGGCAATTTTGAACTGACTCTGGAGTTTGAAACCGTCATTAAAACAATTTAGATCTGTTCTAAATTAGTTCTTCTCTTTGTTCAATAAGGTAACACCTACCGGTATTCTCTGGTCTACATCCTACAATCTACCCGGTAATTATGTTTTGTCTCTACTGTCTCCAAAAACTACTACTTATGGTCCGCATTCCTTTTCCTATATGGCTTCAAAACTTTGGAACTCTCTTTCAGATTTTTTTCTAACTATTCTGATTTCCAGCACAAGATTCTACAGTATGACTATTTCCAGTAGTGTAAAAGTTTAGAATGTTGTAATTCATTTCACAATTTTAGTAGCATTTATAACTATACTATTCTTGTCTTGTAACTTGAAGATACATGTACTACACTGAAGCTTATCTTCCGCCACTCTAAATTCAAGGTTAAATGAAGTACATGTACATGTACGTATGTATGTAAGTATGTATGTATGTATGTGTGTATTAATAATCACAGGAGTTCAGGCTTCAGGAGTAATCATTGATCGTTTTTGTAATTGTAATTGTAGGACCACACTCATCAGGCAACTTCAACGATTGACCGTTAAAATTAAAAGCTGGCAGTAAATATAGGGACGCGTTAAGAGATAGTATCTAGGTAACTGTTTATTGTTTATTTGGTTATTGTTTTGTTTGCCAAAAATTGTACAAATCAAATAAAATCTAATTACTTAAAATCTCATGGCGAGGAAGCCCAAGAGAAGCCACCCGGCTTATAAGGAATGGGTTCCCTCAGTTAGATAATTAGAACAAAATATTATCATAATTATACATGGGAAAATCAATGGCAGAGTTACAGTAAATCTTAAAATAAGTATATTAGATAGTCGTACTAATCATAGTTCTAGGCTAAAAAAAAAGGCGAAATGACAAAAAGAAAAAAAAAACAAAACAAAAAAACAAAAGAAGTTTGATGGATTGTGTCTTAGTTACGTTACTCTAGAGTTCTGAAGTACATATTATCTGTTTCTGTGGGGGCATGAACTCGCTAGTTCGTTTCGCCTGTTCAGGCTACAAAGCTCTTTTCTACAAATGATGATGAACTTTTCATAAAGACAAAGATTACATTTTTTGCTAATGTTGCTATAGGCTTTACATTTCTTTAAAACTTTCCATTTTATCTGGAAAGGTTTGTTAGAGTCTTGTAAAGTCCAAATATATTTTGATAGTTCCATTTTATTTCTTATTAATAGTCAATGCTCTTCAATTAAATGAATTGAGCATTCTACAAAATACGTTCTACCCAGAATACAAGTATGTATGTATGTATGTATGTCTCCTAGGCTTTTAATTACGTCCTCATTTAACAGTCCGCCTAGACTACATAGTACACTACAACATAGCTGGCAAGGCTGATAAATTCAATTCAATTACAGTAATTATTAATGACTTCTGGGAAATGAGAAAATAAACCTACCTTTTAGAGCCCAATAGAGTGCAGTTGTGACTGCCAAGTTAGTGAACATCACAGTTGAATGTGCTACACAAGAGCCAATAGTATAGGGGTTTAACAAATAACTACAACACAACAAAGAAATAATATTGTGTCAACAATATACCTACTATAATAATATTTTCACAGTAAATTATCACCAGTTTGTAAGTAAATAATTATTATAGATCTTAAACTTTGTTTACTAGCCCCAAAATTTTTTAGTTTTTTTTTGTCACAAAATCTGGTAACTTTGATCTTGGCACTGGCATTGGGAACTTCATAGTGCAGAGAACTGTCTCCTCAACATTCAAAGAAAACTAACAAAAATGCAACACTATTCACATTATTTTGAGTACTGTTTATTTGCAGTGCATCAAGAAACATTTAAATTCTCATATATCCTTTCAAACAAAAAAATGCACCCCCTTATTTCAGGATTATGGTTACTCTATGTTTTGTTGTTGAGGAGGAGAAAGCAAACTTACACAGATGATACTAGAAGAGGAATGTTGTTCACTGCTTCCCGCTTGATTAAAATTGGGTCAACAGACTTGGCATAGAATTTTAAATTCGCTGTCTGATCACTTAACTGTGAAAAGAACAACAAAAACAACAACAATGTGATTAATGAGGTCATACAAAAATGACCAGTCAAAAAAAGAGTATGTAAGGCTATCTATTAGGAATGGACTATTTAATTTTTGATGGGGGAGAGAAGAGTGGGCAATTTCTTCTTAACAAGAATTTTATTTTTCATCACCAGCAACATATCCCTTTGCTAGAATTTTTAAACATGCCTATTATACAAATTCCAAAAGTAGATGGGATTTGCACAATTTTTTTCCCCTATTTTTCTAGTACAAATTTTTTTTGTAATGGACCAATCCTGCCACCTCAAAACTTAAATGGTCCATTTCTTAAAAAGGATTCTGCTTATTTTTACAGGAACATCAGTTGCCAATAGCCCTGAGCCTCTGGGATCAACAAGACAAAACCATTTCAGCTTGACAAGACTGAAAAAACTCATCATTAAATGTGTCTGCGATGGTTAGATCATGGATACAATGCCTAAACAGGGCTTGAAAAAAAAACTTGAATTCCAGTTTGTCTTTTGGGCAAGCAACTCTTACATTTTGTTTGCCCAGAACCACTTCTTCCTTGTCTTAGTTTATGATTTTATTAGAGTAGTCTTGCCTGGACCCTAAGGTTTAAATTTGACCTGCCCTACATGCTACGAGCTCCTATGAGCCCTGCTGACTGGTATCTGAATGTTCATGGGTAATGTTCTTGTCCAGGAGTTATTTTTTTCCCCAAGTATTTGTAATAATGAAAACTTTATTAATTTCTTATTTGTTGACTAAACTTAAAATTGACCATCTCTTTCTTTTCAACACAAAACAGAGTGCAATATTGACATTGCAGTAGATATATGGGGTGAAATAAGTTTAACAAAATAATATTCATACATTCTAGCATTAACGATATCATCCTGTTCCAAGTGACTCCCAATAACTCAAACCTTCACTAACTCAAACCTCACGCTAACTTGAACCAATTTGAAACATTGAATTTAATTACAAACATCCGTGCCAATAATATACATGTATGCTTTGTACTTTTATACCTTTTTTCAGTCCACTTCAAGTACGGTGTCCAGCTCTGTATAGTAATCAAACTTCCTTTTTCAAATATTATTTTATTTCTTGCTTCCCCTGAAGTAAACTTTGCATGGTACTTCCATTGCTTCCCCATCCCATTTCCTTACATGTACTTCCCCATTTTCGGTTATTGCTTTGAACTCTCAATAACTCAAACTTTTTTCGATTTCCCTGGAAGGCTCCAGTTATCGGGCATTGACAGTACTTTCAACTATTATAAGAAGTCTTAGTGCTAGTTTCCTTTTAAATTTCTTTCAATATATACTTCTTATATTTATAGTAACCAATCATTAAACAATTTGAGTGTTAAATGATCATACCAGTATGTCAGAGTGAAGGCAAGCGAGCCTGTAAAGGATCCATCCAATTATCAAGTCACCCACCTACATGTGAAGAAAACTATATAAATACAAAAAGCTGCACAGGTCAGTGGGGAAAACCTTTAAACACATCATTTCAATATTATATGCAAACAAGTAAATATAGTCAAACCCAAGAGTTCTCATTGGTAGTCTTTACAGTAGAGCCTAAATAAGCTAAGAAATATTTCAAGACAAGTAAATTTTAAATTCTTCCAGTGAAAGAAAGCTTCACACACAACCTATCTCTTACTGCAGGTTTACTTAAGCCTGTTTTCCCATGCAACGTAATTAAGATTGATTGACATGCTTCACCTTTCTGAAAGCTTAGAAACCGCAAGTTCGCTATGTCGGTCTAGAGGATGGTTTTCAAGTCACTTGAAACTTTCTTGAATCGTCTCAACTTTCCGACTTTAATGAGATGCGAAGTAAAGTTACTTGAGATTTTACTTAAGCCTTCACACACGCACTTTTGGTTAAGTAAAACTTAGTAGCTCTTAAGTCTTACTTAACAGCCTGGTGTAAAGACAGCCATTGTCCCTGAGGAAAGCCCTTACATTTTCTCTAAATTCAACTTGCTTAATATGGACACCCCTCTGATGTGGACAATGGACACTTGGTTTTTGGCTGATCAACAGATTCTCATAGAAAGTTAAACTAACTAATGCAGATGCTTCATTGTCAACTGTGTGCAATAATAAAACTTTCCTTATTGAAGATAAAAAAAAAACCTTTAGCTGACAGTATGTCAATGTTCCCAGTGCTACAGTACACCAGATAGGATGAATATCATTGTAAATGTCAAGCCAGTTATACAGAAAACAAGTTTTGATTAAGTATGCAAAAATTAACAACTTTTGAGTGTTTCTACAGACATAGTCTATGAAATGACGACTTTGTGAAGGTATGTTTAAATTAACAAAGTTAATGTCCTGTTTTATTTCTTTAACTTTTGTCTTCTGTACAATAATAGGTGTACTTTTGTCTTAAATAATGTGACCCACTTAACAAGAACACTTTTGATGACCCCCTCAGTGTTTACATTAATAGGGTTTGACTGTAACCAGCTCCCAAGTGAAAAGGACCTGGTAAGCTAGAAATGCTTATAGTTGATAAACTTATGTTCCGACTCACCACAAAAACAGCAGGAAAAAGTGTTTCTGATACTTCCTGTACTCCAAGAAATGTTGTTAGCACCAGTGGTGTCTGGTAGAAACAAACAAAACTGAGATAAAGCAACGCTATTTTAGAGTAGCGTACCAGTCAATTCCAAAACTGCCCATCCCTGTGGCATATCTTGGGCATTATTTGACTGGTGTTTGTGCCATACAGAGGGGAATTTGACAAAAATGAGGCCTGCACAGTCATGCATTTGACTTTCGCGTCAAAACGCTGGTCAGCATCCCAAGCAAAAGGATTTAGAAATTCTTTCTACATTTAGCTTGTGCACCACAGGTCATTGCTCTTATATTCACCGCAATTTTGGAGCATTTGAGAGCCTTTGGAAAAGCGAGTTAAATGTGGGCTTACTTTTGAATAGTCCCTGGTAGGTGGGGGATTTGACAATTTTTAAAGCCCTAGCCGGTGGAGCATTTGACCATCTAAACCGCTAAGATACTGGCGAATTTCACCAAAATTTTTCGAAAAAGTCAAATGCCTAGGGTGTGCAGGGGGGGCGGGGGGGAAGGGGATTGACTGGTACATAAGTTACTTTTGCTTATTGCTAAATGAAGAAAGATAGAAATATCAAACAGCAGAAATAGGATTTCATGAATGTTATTCATCTTTTAAGATCTATCTCACCTCATGTACAACATCTCCAGAATAAGGTGAAACTCCAAGTTTAACAAGAGAGAGGCCTTCTTGAACTGTAAATATATATTGGCAAGTTTACTTAAAAATAAGTCAAGTCATGAAAGTAAGACAGAAAGATGCAGTTCTTTCAGTTTACAGCATTTTAGTTAATTTATGTGCTGAAGATATAAATAGAAAAAAAAGGTAATATATCGATAAACAAATTATACTGTCAGTCAGGATGTAGCTAACTGATACTTGAGACTTGATAAAAACAGATCAAAATCTAGTAATGTATCAGAAATAAATGAAGAGAACATCATCATGATTAAATATGCAACTCATGCAGTTGATGGCATTCGAACACAGACGTCTGCGACCGCTCGGTAACCAGTCATTACGCCCCAGTTACTTGGCCCACTATTTTCGAGTCATTTAGCGTTCTTTAAATGTAATATTCCTCGTTCTTTAAGCCACAAACCAACACAAGCCCGCTTCAAATATAATATTCCTCGTTCTAGAATAGAAGTGCTAAGTAACCGGGGCGAAATGACTTGGGGGCGAGATGACCGGTAACCAGCGCTCTTTAACCAATGGAGTTACCAAGCTCATTGGGAGTTTGTCATTAAATTGGTTCGTAATACACTCGGGAAAGTTGAAGTATTGAAGAAGAAGCTATGTCCCTGTTGGTATTTTTCTTATGTATTCGTAATTGTTTCCACCACGGTCACAGTTTCAACCAATCTTCTTGTTATTGCCCATTTTTGACAACTACAGTACTGCTCACTAATTGCACGCTCATCTTTGAAAATTAGTTATCGTTATTTTCCAACACAAGTTTACCTCTGTTCCATGCATTCAGTGGTGTAGAAAGCTCTATTCGGTTAATGAACCAGTCTTTAACGGGACTGTATATGAGGAAGAGACGCGAAATGAAGGCCAAAAAGAAGAGGGAAAATACTCTCCTTAAATCCGCCATCTTGGATTTAATGCTAGTTCTTAGTCACCCGCGACTTTTTCGGATTTTAGTTCCCAGTTTCTCGCGCTCTCTTTAAACTTGATAGACTTG